GTATATATATGTACTCTCGAAACGGTGCCTGTAATGTGATCTTTCGTTTACTAGAATTATAAATACTCGTCTTCCCTCGAAAAACGCGACGAAATAATCTCTTTCAATGATGAGGAGCTATGTATTTAAATCCCTAAGATATTTTAGTCAAATGCAGAAAATATTAACATAAATATCTACTTAAGATATACATTATTTTAGACGATTTTACAACAATGTGTTCAAATAAGGAATTTTATAAGTTATGAACATTTTGTTTATATTTACACATTCATTATTGAAATGAAATTGTTGCCATATCAATTCTACAAAGTTAATATCTTTTTTATAATATTTGAAACACTACTGATAGATACTAAATATACTTAAAATAGTCAATTTATAAGGAAATTAATATACTGAATTAATTAAAACAATGTATTAAAGCTCAAATGAATTTAAAATATAGATATCTTTAAACGGATATAAAACACAAAATGCATTTGGATTCACATTTTTATAAAAGTTCCTGATATCTTTTTATATGTTATTTATAGATAAACTATATTGTTTCTCTTTATATTGCCATTGAAGCACAATTGAGATTTTCTTTTTAGTATTACTTACCATGTTATAAATGTCTAAGTATTAAAAGATATATGTTGAAATGTATTATTGTATTTAATTAATGATAGATATTATGTATAATAAATATTACGAAAATAAAATTTTTAATTACGTATTTTAAGTCTGAAATCACTTTTTTTATTTGTGAACTAATTTTAAATAACGTAACATTTTCATATAATACGAGTATATTCGCTGCACATATTCTTAAAAATTATACATTATATAATTGTAGTGTAGTATATATATGTATATGTACGTTGCTTATACTTTACATTGTTTTATCATTTTTTAGTAAACAGTGATTAATTATTATATTGGTAAATTAAAAGAAGACGTGACTTATGGGAAAATATATATTTCTGAATGTCTATGTTACAATATGTATAAGTATATAAATAACTTATTGTTAATGTTTCACAGTTTTTTTTTCTACAAATGATTAAAGATAATTCTTTAATACAAGATAAAAACGAATGTTCATTGCTAAAATGCTCATAGAAATTGTTTTATGATTAAGTAATATCTAATTGAAGAAGAGTTGAATATTTTATTTAATATTGACTGAATATTATTGGCATTTAATTCTACATACAGAAAGAACAGTACTTCCATAAGTAGAAACTGTGAAACAACGAATCTATTATTCGAATTTAAATGTATACCTACCATAAGTAATTTTTTATCAGTTGACCATGTTTTCATATTAAACTTATATTTTGTTATAAATACTTATAAATAATTTTGATTATTGTTTTTGACTATAATGAATTAATCATTTCAATATTAAAAGTTAGAAATACATAGAATTAATATTTTCCAGAGTCATAAAAATTACATATTGTTAATTTATACTTTTAGTTAATTCCAAATAAAATATTACAAACTATAATTTCCAAAATTTTTTACAGTGTAGATGCATCTATTTCTTTCTTTCAAAATTCATGTTGTGAGTATTAGTGTTCCCTTTAAGCACATTAGTAATTTTTACATATTACAACAACTAACAAAATCGTACTAAAAACTTTTTTTAATACATCGGTTATTAATTATATTATAAATTAAAAAAATTATATATGATCCTAACTCTAAATAATAACCATTTTATTTTCTACCACTTAGCACATTACCTAATAATAAGAAATCAATATCTATAATAATATCAATCATGTAGTTATTGACATCAGGTTCATATAACTATTTGTTGTTAATTTCATTATATAAAATTCAATTTTTTTTTAGTTATGTGAAAGAAATTTGGATTATAGGACGGTTATGTCATTTCATCAGTTATCATTCAAACAAAATTATATTTTATCAAATTTTATAACTCGAGATAGATGGAAATTATTTTTCACAATACAATCACAATTCAGTCAATGCTATGTTGCAATATATAAAATATTAGTACACTATTTTCATTTCTCTTTCAAATCTACAATCTACTAACATCAATTACACTCATATAAATATTTATTATTTCTGTATATTGTCTACGAAGAAAGGAAGAAATAGTATCAGTCGTATTTTGCAATATCTCTGAATTCTATTGTTTCTTATTAAATGTTATTAGAATGATCCTAAAAATTACTTATATTTCAACAGTATTTTTCTATAATATTAGTAACATATTTACAGATATAGAAATGCTTACAAAATGAGAAATATTAATTCTGTAACATCTTCTCCCTCACATTAAAATTTTTAAAGATATTGTATACATAATTATCATACAATAATCAATTAATTATGACCAAAAATTGTTAGAGTCTTTTTTCTTTATATAATGCATGTATAATTTACTGCTTAAATTTTGGGGTTTAATGCTGTTATATTTATTTTACATTATTTTAGGAAAAATCTTTTAGTACCAAAAAATGATTTAACAAATTCTTACTTCAGATTATCATCTTTAACTAGAGTCCATAGAAAGCTGAAAAATATTGACGAAACTTTGTCTCTACTTACCAATATACATAGAATATATAACACAGTACATCTGAGTCTCAAGTAGATACCATTGCTTTAGGAAACGACACATGTAGATTGTGAATTAGTATTTTCCATGTTATTAAGATTACTGTAACTACCTCGGAAATTTACATCTTCAACTTTTAATGATAATTCATGTGATCGTTCTTCATCCAACGGAGCAGTTGTTGAAGTATGACTTATAGAGGAATGGCGAGATCGAGACAAAGTTCCTCGTTGATTATTACCTGCAGATGGAGCCGGACTGGGAGAGGGACTCTCCGGTATCTGTTCTTGTTCTTGTTGCTGTTTTGTTATAATTAGTCTGTTTAATAAAGAAATTTGACCTTGAATACCTGACACGAAAGGTCTATATCCTAAACTGAAATGCAATTTATTTTTTATTATAATTACTAAATTATTCTTATTTCAAGCACATATTTTACATAATACATACCATTCTGAATGAGACCATTTAGTTAACGTAAGAAGACCGTCTCTCAAATTAATTACAGAATCAAAAGTTTGCATAGGAGCATGTGCTGCTCTGATAGTTCTAGCCATAGCAGGTGCGTCGCGTAAAACAGTTGCTAATACTGCAGCCCAGCCTAAGCAACCACCTTCCAAAAATAATTGTAGAAGATATCTAAGCTGCACTTCTGCACGACTTATCGGCGCACAAAGTGATGCGTTATGAATTTCTGTTTGTTCTACAGGATCTGAGGAAACCCAACACACTGTTCCAACTCCAGTTCCAACGATTGATTCGGTATCATCTCTCCAAATAGTACTACTATCACTAAGAACGCTGTTAGCATCTATCAAACGGGAACAAAATTTCTTAATTTAAACTATATAGTGATTAAAATTTATATATGTATTAAAATTTATATAATAAGATAATGTAAATACCATGTAACATGTTTGCTGTTAACTTTGTTTCGGTAGCAGGAAATTGTGTTTCTAAACTTGCAACGGGTGATATTAATGTAGTATAAGGTGGTCTTCCACTTGGTAAACTAGTATAACCACTATCAGGCAAATCAACAATAAAACTGGAATTCAACGGTTCATCTTCTGGACTTTCTAGACTGACTGATCTTATAGAACGTAGAGACGTAAGGCTAGATCTTCGAAATTTTTGTAAAGTTGGAAGAGACAGTACGGGATAAGCGAACGAAAAATCTTCGTGCACTGCTTTTAACGTTGCAACATAATCGTCTATTTTTGCTGCTCTATCACGCTCTCTAGCAAACCATGTAACTAAATGGAAATCTAATCGTGCAGCAAATCTGCCTAAATCTGCAAGCCGCTTTGCCGAAAGTAATCGACGAGCATGACGTTGTAATATTACGTCAATAAAAAATTCCTCGGCTGAACCTTCTCTAAAAAAAAAATAATAAACATTTTGTTTTAGTATCAATGATATATTTTAACAATTTTTATCGATATTTATTGGTGAATATTTAGAAAAGACGTACTTGCTATCAACTTTTTCAGTTTTAGAAGTGCTTGTAGGTACAGACTTTTTTCGTCTCATAACGACGTTTCTAGTTTTCTCAAGCATCGAAGAAGGTGCTATATCTTTGGCTGAATCAGATTGTACTTTAGGCGTTACT